TATTAAAATAATCCTCTAATAATAAGAAATATAGTCATGAAGTCTATATAATAGCTATTAGCTAGAATATTTTATAATAGAAATTAGACTTCTTTATTAACTTATAGAGTAAGTTTAATAAAGATACTATACTTATATATTTTTATTCTAAATATCAACTATGTATTAATCTTAATATATTAAGAAAAGAATATAATAGTATTTTTTATTATATATCTATTGATAATATCTATAATAATCTTTTTAAATTATTCTTTTATATATAGATACTACTAATTATATTTCTAAATCAAACTCTCACTTTTATACAATACAACTACTAGTTAACTAAGCTTAAGATTTTCTATCTAGTCTAGATAATTAAAAAGATCTATATTATAATTAAAGTAGTCTATATATCTTCTATGATCTATACTAATTATATTAGTACTATCAGTCTTGTATAAAAGACTACTTTTAATATTATAGTATTTAAATATTCAAATCTATATCTAGTATAAGTCTCTTAGTTTATCTAGTAATACTATCTTATTATATACTACTGTATAGGTAAGATAAATAATCTTATTAATATTCTAAGCTATTTACTATCTAAGAATATTCTCTTTATATCTTTTAATCTTGATAATTAGCCAATTTAGATTCTATTATAATTAATATAGTAGTAGTATATATATTTCTACTAGATATACTATCTAGAGAATATTCTAAATTAATATATATCTATAAGATAAGTATTTTCTAGATATTAGATCTTAAGATATTATAAGAGTTTAAAGTATAATTATATTAAGAATATTCTAATAACTACTAAGCTATATATATTATTTAGATTTTATAAAATAATTCTAATATAAAGCTTCTATATATTCTTAAAGATAGTATTCTCTATATATTTAAGTATATTATATAAAAGAAATTATAAGCTTAGTTAAGTATAGAAGATTCTCTAATTTTAATTATTATTAAAGATAAATAGATATATATACTAAAACTAATAGTTAGAGATATCTTTAAACTAATTTATAATAACTAAAACTATTAAGAACTAAATATCTTAAAGTACTTAAAGAACTAGCTATCTACTAGAGTAGATATTTACTTAAGTAATATATTAAGTATTACTTCTTATATCTAATAAATAAAGTATATTAATATAAACTATATAGAAATCTCTAACTAATTATTTTTTCTATTATTCTATTCTATACTATAATAATAGATTTTATTATTAGTCTACTATTAGTAAATATAATACTTATCTATACTATAAATACTAATAAGTAGAATTAATTAATAGTATTTATTAATAAATTTATAAAATATATTAGTCTAGTATCTAGTAATACTCAATAACTAGTAAAGTAATAGATAGAGTATTTAGTTCTTTATCTATAGAAATATAACTAGAAAATACTATAAGTATTTATTTCTAACTAAGATATATAATATACTTTATAAGTATATTTTAGTAAAATACCTTTAAGAAACTTAATATCTTATAACTATACCTAACTATCTAATACTTCTAAATTTATAATTAAATAGAATATACTAATTATATAATTAAGATATTACTCTATTATATATATATATCATATCTATATACTAATTAGATTAATTATCTCTTTATATTTATTAGTATAATTAATAATTCATCTAGTATAGCTACTAAGATATTTTTATATAAACTTATGTTTAGACTTAAGCTCTTAAATCTATAGAATCTTACTAAATAGTTATTTTAGAAATAAGACTTTTTAATTTATTTTAGTAATACAGAAATATATAACTTTATTACTCTTAATATAAAATAAATCTATAAATAGAATTATTAAATTATTTAATCTAATAAGAGAGATAAGATCTATCTTTATTTTTATAAGGAATATATAATTCTAATTAGTTATATAAAGATTTTAAAAAATAAGCTAAATTATTAATATATTAGTTCTTTAACTATACTTAACTAAGTTAAATATTTAATCTACTATCTAAAGCTCTCTATATCTTAGAGTATTTATCTAGTAGTATTAACTATCTAATTAGAATCTACTTCTAGTAAAATTAATCTATATAACTACTAATATACTAAACTACCTCTAGTTAAGAAAGATATTTATCTAAAAGATAAGAAGTATAAAATTAACTATATTCTTACTTCTAGATCTTTTTATAGTAGACTATTAAGAGATAGTAAGTAGTTAATAGAATATTGTATATACTATACAGACTATAGACCTGGATATAATAAGTAGATTAATGAAAAATATCTTAATATAGAGGATCTTCTCTATAATTTTAAGATCTTATAATATACTAAATATATACTATCTTCTATTTATTATCTTTTACTTACTATCTTTTATCTACTATCCTCTAATCTTTTATTATTACTATTTATCTCTTTCTACTATTATCTTTGTTTTCTCTATTTATAATTCTATTATAACTTAATATCTTTAATTATTATTCTACTTAACTATCTAAAGTATATATTAATTTATAAGAAAATACTAGAAATATCTAAATCCTTAGTAATCCAGTCTTTATATATTAATATCCTAGATATAAACTAATTATATAAATAGTAGTCTACTATAATTACTTTTAAACCAGGACTAATACTATACTAGTTATCTCTGTAAGATATATATCTTAGTAATACTTAGACTCTTTTAGCTATTAATAAACTATTAATAGTAGATAGAAGTCTCTATTATCCAGCTAATTTTAATAGATAAAGAAATTTATATTAATTCTATATTTTTTTTAATAAAATTTTTATTTTCTATATCTATAATAACTTCTTCTTTTCTATTTATTATTTTATCTATATTCTTTATAGTTAGTCTAGATTATTCTATAAACTCTAGCTATTTAATATATAGTATTCTATAAGTATTATAGAATATACTATAACTACTATAATTAAAATAGATTCTATTATAATAAATAGTTCTACTATTAATAAATCTAATATTATTCTAGCTATTTCTTTCTATACTTTATATATTATTTTATAGTAGAATTTCTCTATATCTATCTAGATAAGCTATAAGAAAGACTATATACTTTACTATAATAGAAAAACTAAAGTTTCTAAATTTTAGAATCTAGTAGTAAAGAATCTACTTTTAGATCTTATTCTATTTATAAATCTATTCTTAAATAAACTATAAAGTTAAATATTTATAACTAATAGTCTATAAATATAAGTAATATTAAAGTATCTAATATTTCTAGATATTATATTTATCTCTAAAAAAACTAAAACTATAGTTATTTTTTCTTTCTTATCTTTATATATTTTCTTAATTCTAAATATTATTTCTAATACTTCTAAATTATTAAGTATCTTATCTAATACTTCTGAATTACTAAATATTATATTAAATACTTCTAAACTCTAAAGTCTAATACTACTAAACTATTAAATATTATTTCTAATACTTCTTAGTTCTTACTATTTAGTAAAGAAGTATATTATCTTTAATATATACTTTTTCTACTTCTATTAAACTACTTTAATTCTGGTTATATATTCTATAAATCAGACTGTTAGTTGTATTACTATACAAGTATTTGTAGTAAATAATCCAAAATTCACTACAGATTTACTTATAGATGAAAATATTATAGAATATAAAGGAATTTTACTTGACTATAATTATTAGAAAGTATATATTAAGAGATACAAGAATCTGCTAATATATATTAAAGTTTAAGTAAAGAAATATATTAATACTTCTATCTATTGTACTAAATAAATAACAATTCCATACAATTCAACTGCTAGTATACCTGTTAAAATCAAAGCAGAACTAGTTAATAATTGAGATTACTTATTTAAGTCTATAATCTTTAATAATAGTCTTATAGAATATATCTATCTGGTAGACGCAAATTTCTTCTTTATTCAGATTATAAACAAAGATACCAGAGATCTAGTTATATTCTAGTATGCTTAGTTGAGCAGTATCTCCAACAACAAATACAATAGCTGTAATAAAGCAGAAGATCATATATACAAGCTTGCATAGTCTCTAACTAAAGTCAACTATACTTCTTAGTAAACTTAGAATAATCTTAGTATATTAAACAATCTATCTCTTAATAGACAACAACATTACTATCTCCACCATGCTTTAAAACGCGATGTCTACTATATGTATATTGACGAACAGTTAGATGCTGCGAGTGCGAATACTGTAGATATATTTAATATAAATAGTAAGACTACTAGGTTATCTAATAGTATTATAATATATATAGACAATCTTAATATAGTAAGACGACTTACAAAGATTCTTACTTAGTATAATATATAAATTAATCCAGATGGTTCAAATATTAGCTTTGTCAACTTGCTGGAAGATCAATAGCTTAATATTTCTATAAAGAAGAAATAGAATAAGAATCAATCTAAACTATATATCTATAGAGTCTCTAAAAAAGATTAAGAAGTTATAGATCAGATATTTAATAATTTATATATATAGAAGATATCTTATATAATAGAATATACTCTAATAGTATATCTAGTTTTTATTATATAGTAAATAGTAACAGATCCAGAAACTAGCTAATAAACTATAAAAGATAGAGTAGTTATTAATCTTAGAAGTACTAATAAGCTTACTATCTCTAACTTATATCTAGTACTAAATACTAGAAATATCATCCAAATACTTACTAGATATACTTATATTACTATTATTAATATATATATACACTTCTATTAATAGCTTGTTAAGAGAAATAAATATAACTATTTAGTAATTATTACTTATTATAATTAAGAAATTTTCTATATTATTATTATAGGATTTATAAATACTAAATTCTATATCTAATATTAAATAGATCTTAATTTATAGGAGTATAAAGTATTTTACTATATATATATTAATAATCTTATTATAGTATCTATTAATTTAGACTAATATATTAAGTACCTCTATCTTGTATTTCAGTGCCTATAGTATTTAAATATGAAGCTGAAATTATATAAAATATTTATTGGTTTCCTCTCTATTCAGCTACTTGATCAGAGAGTTGATAGTTTAGAACTTACTATATCAGTAGATAAGCTTACTGCTATATATAGTCTTAAGTTTCTTAAAATACTAGTAACTCTTGAATACTATCTAGGACTTACTAGTTATCTGAGATACTATATTTTATTATATAGAATATACTTAATTACTATAAGAGTATAAGTTATAACTATTAAAATAATCCTCTAGTAATAAGAAATATAGTTATAAAGTCTATACAGTAGCTACTAGCTAGAATACTATATAATAGGAATTAGACTTCTTTACTAACTTATAGAGTAAGTTTAATAAAGATATTATATTTATATATTTTTATTCTAAATATTAACTATATATTAATCTTAATATATTAAGAAAAGAATATAATATTATTCTTTATTATATATCTACTAATAATATCTATAATAATCTTTCTAAATTACTTCCTTGTACTTAAATACTACTAATTATATTTCTAAGTTAAGCTCTTATCTCTATAGAATACAACTACTAGCTAACTAAGCTTAAAGTTTCATGTCTAGTCTAGATAATTAAGAAGATCTATATTATAGTTAAAGTAGTCTATATATCTTCTATTATCTATACTAATTATACTAGTACTATTAGTCTTATATAAAAGACAACTTTTATTATTATAGTATTTAAATATTTAAATCTATATCTAGTATATATCTTCTAGTTTATTTAGTAATATTATCTTATTATATACTACTATATAGATAAGATAAATAATCTTACTAATATTCTAAGCTATTTACTATTTAAGAATATTTTCTATATTTCTTTTAATCTTAATAAGCTGATCAATTTAAACTATATTATAATTAATATAGTAGCTATATATATATTTTTACTAGATATATTATTTAGAGAAGATTCTAAACTAATATATATCTATAAGATAAGTACTTTCTAGGTATTAGGTCTTAAGATATTATAAGAATTTAAAGTATAATTATATTAAGAATACTCTAATAACTATTAAACTATATATATTATTTAGATTTTATAAAATAATCCTAATATAGAGCTTTTATATATCTTTAAAGATAATATTCTTTATATACTTAAGTATATTATATAAATAAGACTATAAACTAAGTTAAATATAGAAGATCCCTTAACTATAATTATTATTAAAGATAAATAGCTTTATATACTAAGACTAATAGTTAGAGATATCTTTAAACTAATTTATAATAATTAAAACTACTAAGAATTAGATAAGTATCTTAAAGTACTTAAAGAACTAGCTATCTATTAGAATAGATATCTATTTAAATAATATATTAAATACTATCTCTTATATCTTATAAATAAAGTATATTAATATAAACTATATAAAAATCTCTAGCTAATTATTTCTTCTACTATTCTATTCTATACTATAATAATAGATTTTATTATTAGTCTACTACTAGTAAATATAATATTTATCTATACTATAGATACTAATAACTATAACTAATTATTAATATTTATTAATAAATTTATAAAATATATTAGTCTAGTATCTAGTAATACTAAATAGTTAGTAGAGTAATAGATAGAGTATTTAGTTATTTATCTATAGAAATATAACTAGAGAATACTGTGAGTATTTATTTCTAATTAAGATATATATTTTATAAGTATATTTTAGTAAGATATCTTTAAGAAACTTAATATCTTATAATTATACTCAACTACCTAGTATCTCTAAATAGATAATTAAATAGAATATACTAATCAGATAATTCAGGTGATACGCTATTATATATATATACTATACTTATATATTAGTATAATTAATAGTTTATCTAGTACAGTTATTAAGATATTTGTATATAAACTTATATTTAGATTTAAGCTCTTAAATCTATAGAATCTTACTAGATAGTTATTTTAGAAATAAGACTTTTTAATTTATCTTAATACTATAGAAGTATATAACTTTACTACTATTAATATAAAATAAATCCATAACTAGAATTATAAGTTAATTTAATTTAATAAAATGGATAAGATCTATCTCTATCTTTATAAAGAATATATAGTTCTAATCAGCTATATAAAGATTTTAAAAATAAGCTAAATTATTAATTTATTAGTCCTTTAACTATACTTAATTAAGTTAGATATTTAGTCTACTATCTAAAGTTCTCTATATCTTAGAGAATCTATCTAGTAGTATTAATTATCTAATCAGAACCTGTTTCTAGTAAAATTAATCTATATAACTACTAATATACTGAACTACCTCTAGTTAAGAAAGATATTTATCTAAAAGATAAGAAGTATAAAATTAACTATATTCTTATTTTTAGATCTATATATAGTAGACTACTAAAAGATAGTAAGTAGTTAATAGAGTATCTTATGTGCTATATAGGCTACAGGCCCAAATATAATAAGTAGATTAATAAAAAATATCTTAATATGGAAGACCTTCTCCGTAATTTTAAGACCTTATAATATACTAAATATATACTATCTTCTACTTACTATCTTCTACTTACTATCTTCTATCTATTATCTAATATTCTTCTTTTTCTACTATTATCTTTGTTTTCTTTTATTATAGTCCTGTTTTAATTTAATATCTTTAACTGTTATTCTATTTAACTATCTAAAGTATATATTAGTTTATAAGAAAGTACTAGAAATACCTAAATCTCTAGTAATCTAATCTTTGGATAATAATATCCTAGATATAAGTTAACTATATAAAAAGTAATATACTATAATTACTTCTAAACTAGAACTAATACTATACTAGTTACTTCTATAAGATATCTATCTTAGTAATACTTAGGCTCTTTTAGTTATTTATAAACTATTAATAGTAGATAGAAGCATCTACTATCTAGCTGATTTTAATAGATAGGAAAATCTATATTAATTTTATATTTCTTTTAGTAAAACTTTTATTTTCTATACTTATAATAACTTCTTCCTTTCTATTTATTATTATATCTATATTCTTTATAGTTAGTTTAGATTATTTTATAAACTCTAGTTACTTAATATATAGTAATCTATAAGTATTATAGAATAAACTATAACTACTATAGTTAAAATAGATTCTATTATAGTAAATAGTTCTACTATTAATAAATCTAATATTTTTCTAGCTGTTTCTTTCTATACTCTATATACTATTTTATAGTAAAATTTCTCTATATATATCTAAATAGACTATAAGAAAGACCGCATGCTCTACTTTAATAAAGAAGCTGAAGTTTCTATACTTTAAGATCTAATAGTAAAGAATCTACTCTTAGATCTTATTCTATCTATAAATCTATCCTTAGATAAACTATAAAGTTAAATATTTATAACTAGTAGTTTATAAATATAAGTAATATTAAAGTATCTAATATTCCTAGAACTTATATCTACTTCTAAGAAAACTAAAACTATAATTATCTTTTCTTTCTTATCTTTATATATTTCCTTAACTCTAAATATTATATCTAATACTTCTAAACTATTAAGTATTAATCTAATACTACTAAACTACTAAATATTGATTTTAATACTTCTAAACTAATAAATACTTTTAAATTACTAAATATCTCTTCTAATACTTCTAAACTATTAAATATATTATCTATTACAGTACTACTATCAGTAGTTATAAACTTGTGGCGGATATCGCTTATATCGCTGATATCGCTGTTCTGCCGTCTGTTCGTCTGGCCGCCTTCCTGGCCGCCCTAGCGGCAGAACTTCGTCTTTCTCGAATTCTGACGTCTTCCGTCATTAATCAACTAACTTACTCACTCATGAATCATCATCTATACCATGATAAAACTTAATTATTTAGAGTAATAAGATATTTGTCTTATATAAAGAATATATAAGAAAGGCTAAACTGCTTACTATATAGTAGAACTATAAGAAATGTATACAAACTATCTAGGATTAAATCCTCTGGAGAGTTGATGAGGGACTATTTATTGATTAATCTATCTACTAAAACCTATCCTATTCCAACCTAATAACCCTGTGTATTTCTAAAACCTCAAACAGTTGCTCTAAACCTCAATAATAACTTAGATTACTCAGTGTAAGATAAAGCAAAATAATTCGATAATCTTATAAATATATCTAAGATTAAATAGTTAATAGTCTTAATTCTAGATTATCCAGAACTACTTAATGTTTACCATTACTAAAGTAAAGAAGCTGAGATATCTATAGTAGATAATATTATTATTACTAGAACTAATATATCTAGAACTATTATATTAACTACTATACTTAAGCAAAGCTTAGAAACTAATCTCTTTGTAGATTCTAATACTAAGAATAACTTAATCTATAATTTTATTACTATATTAAGTACTATATCTACCACACCTTCTCAACCTACTGATCCTAAGAAAAGACGGAAACACAAATACTCAAAGGTTTGAATATTTAGGAATAAATATCTTTTTGAAGACGGCATTATCATGATGTTAGCTCCTTCTTCCCAGCTGGGGTCAACTCTTTCCCTTTAGCTTGTGGGTCAACCTTGTCTCTTTCGGGAGTTCCCCTTTTTCCTGTATCTTAACAACAAGTTAACGAACGAATAAATGAATGAAGGAAGCTCCAACAGAAATAAAAAATAATACTTCTTCGAAATTTACTAAGTTAAAGACACTAAAATTAGAAAGTATATTTAATAAGACTATATAAATACTGATACTTAACAAATCTATAGATTAAGTTTAATAAGAAAAGACTAGATACTAGTGTACTTCTAACCTAGATAATAATTATATATTAATCTAAGAATATTGAAAAGAATACAATATTATCCTATATTATATTAATTCAAAGAAGACTTATATAGAGATCTCTGAACTATTTTTATATATCTAGATATAACTAGTTTTCTTTCTAAATAGAGTACTTACTATGCATAAGTATAACTACTATCTAATAGAGATTAAAGTATCTTATCTTATATAAATAATTTATAAAATAAAATACTATCTTAAAGCTATATATATATTAGTCACAATATATGAAGACTATATGAGTATAGTAAATCTTACTTAGAAAATAATCTTTGATATAGTAGTACTAGAATATCTAAATCTTTATCTTATTTATATATTCTAATTTAT